TCCGCTTCAGAGGGCCGTCCCTGTCTGCCCTGTACCACCACCAAGCGGCTTCACGGGTCCTCTGCGGGCCTGCAGGATGGGGGTGCGCGTGTCCACACACGCTGAGGGAAGGTGTTTCCTGCCCTGCCCGTGGCTATGCATGTGTGTTCTCCCTCCCTGTGCACTGAGGGGAAGCCGTCTTTCTCTGGGATCTGAAGAAAGGTTCTCTGTATTCCTCTACGCCCCCCTGCCCCCGCCCACCCCAACCTCAAAACCCCCAGGTTTGGGAGAAGGTCCTTAAAGATCTCTAGGTGATCTACCCCACCCCCAGCTGTTAGAGGGCTGGGTTTAAGACCCACTCTGGCAGGGCGGCCTCATTCAGCTCACACAGAAAGCTTGTTCCAGGGGCCGGTGCTACTACAGAGCGGGACTTGGCCGCAGCACTGGGCCGACTCCATGATCCAAGAGGCAAATGGACTATGCTGGAGGGGCTCGGGAGCGGGCAGGGCAGGCTGAGGTCCAGTGTCCCACGCCAGAGACCACGAGCTTCATTAGCACACGGCCTCCACTCTCTCCACAAGCGGCCACGACTCATGGGGCCAGGGAATGCCAGACCGTCTCCTCGAATGAGCTGCACAAGGTTCTAGCAGCACCTCACCTGCATCAGCCCCCAGCCCCTGCCTGGCCCACGGAAACCCTGCAGGACAAAGTAGAAGTGCCCTTGGCAGGCGTGACCCTCGGACCTCACCGTCAGCAGCTACCCCGGAAGCGTAACCCACGACGCCACCCGGGCTCCTCCTGGCTTTGGAGAGAGAGGGAAATAAAACCCAAACAGGGCATCAGCATGGCTGCCGCCTTTTATAGCAGCAGACTGCCATGCCACCTCTCCCGAGAGCGGCTGATGGGTTTGAAGGGGGAGCCTTCAGGCAGTGGCCACCAAGTGCTTTACAAACCCAGCTGCAGAGCTGCTAGCCAGGAGCTGTGACTACCAGAGGCCAGCATGCTACCTCTTCCCAGCCCTGGGGGCTCACTGCTTCGGCTCCCCCGGAGGGCTGTGCCTGGGTGGGGGGCATGCTGAAGTCATGCGCTAGAACTAGGGTGGCTTGCTAGCTAGGGTCAGGGGAGGGAGCCCCAGAAGTGGGGAAGGGGTAGCAGTCCACAGGCCTCTACGTGGGGAGTGCCTGCAGGGTCCTGGAGGGGGCACTCACTCCTGGTGTCAAAGGGCTGCGGGCTCCACCAGTGTATGGGGAGACACACCCAGTTTCTTACAGAGGAACATAAGCCAGGCCTCCAACCCTTACAAGTCCCAATGGTCACAGCACAGCCAATAGATTGGGGAGGGGGGCTGTCACTGTGGAGGGGCCCCCACAGAGGGTGGGGTCACCGAGGGGGTTCTTGACAGGGTAGAGGCCATTTTGGGGGGGGGGGTCATCTACTACCTGGGGACCAGAGACATGCTCTTCTAGGCCTTGGGAAACAGCCCCAGCAGTGTTAGTGCCCAATGCCGCACACACGTGGGGTCCAGGGTGTGGGAAGGGCCTGCTTGCTGCCAGCAGTCCCAGGCCCCTGCCTGCTCCGGGCACTCTCCAGAAACAGCGAGGTAGTTCAGGAAAGGAGGTTTTGCTGGGAAGTGAAACCACACCGCTGTTTTTCAGGTTTTTATTTGGTGTTAACTCCACAAGAAAACAAACATCTGTTACTCTGGTGAAGGTCAAGTTGGAGAGACGTATTGCGGGGCCGGCATGTGGTCTCGGCATACCACCGCACAGCTCGGTTTGCACACTTTCTAAATGCCCTCTCTTTGTGGTCATTCATCTGTTCCCCAAACTAAAAGCCACACTTTCACCTCTGCTGCCGAGTCTCCGAGCTTCAGCCACTGACCCCGGACAACACAGAGCACATGCCCGGAGTCCCTCGCTGAGAGCTTGCCTGGCAAGTGTCTCTGCCACCAACCAGGTCTCCAGGGCGCAGAAGCGGAGTCCTGGGCCTGACACAGCAGCGGCCTCTTTGCTGTTCAATTCCCTTTCAGTGCAGAGGCTGGTCAATTTTTAGGAAGCTCCAGAAAAAAGAAAAATACATAGAACTTATCTGAAGTCTGTAAATAAATAACAGCAACACAAACCCAAAGCACGCACGCACACTTGCGTGCACGCGCCCGCACAGCCCATGTAAAGTGTCGAAAGACATGCTGCACAGAGGCAGCCAAGGACCCTGCCCGGGACCCAATGCCATCTTCCGTGTGTCAGCCCCACGCTCAGAGCGGACGGACGGACGGCTGCTCTCAGCCCTCGAGGTTGGCTGTGCGGGTCCACGGGCCCCTAGGACCACTGCCGTAATCGGCCCAGACCGCTCGCATGCCCCGCGAAGACCCCCACGCCACAAGTGGGGAGCACAGGAAAACGAGCTCGCACGTTGAGGGGTTTTGCATACGGCCCTGGCCTCACTGCCGGCACCTCGAGAGCCTGGGCTGGCAGCGCGCACGTGCGCCCGCCCCTCCCCGGGCACTGTCCACACAGAACGAGGCACAGGGTGGGGGGAAGCGAGGGTCTGACACTCCCTGAAAGGACTCCTTCCTCCTTCCCGACTAAGGTCCTCTGCCCAGCCCCCTCGCTGCCCAGCCTCGGCTTCTTCCGGAAGCAAGAAGTCACAAGCCAGGCGTCACCACCCGCGTCAGCCGAGCATCCGCCCTCCGCAAGCACGGCCTGTGCTCACGCCACGTGCCACGTGCCCACGAGTCTGCCGGACGGGCGGGGGCGGGCGGAGGCTGCGCGGGCCGTGGAGACATGGGCGGATCTGCCGGGATGCGGGCGGGAGCAGCGGCGCTCCCAGACAAGCACATGCAGCCCGCTCCGGTCGGACAACACAGTCTAGTCTACGTCAAAGAGCCAAGAATTTAACAGCGGGGGGGGGTCTTCACAGGACAGCTGTCCTCAACTCTAAAACAAGCGAGAAGAGAGAGAGCGTTACTGGCGGGCCAGCGCGGGCTCAGAGGTGGGTCCGCGAGAAGAGCTCCGAGCCCGGGCCCGCCCAGCCGCCCCCGCCGCCCTCCGAGCCGCTGTCCTCTGAGCCGCTGTCGCCGGCGGCCGAGCTGCTGCCGGAGCCCACCTTTCTGCGGAAGCCGTGGGCCTGGGCGCCCGAGAGCCTCTCCCCGGTGCACCTGGCTTCATACACGGAGGACACCTGGGGAGCAGAGGGGCCCACAGGTCACAGGGGCGGGCCCCACCGCCCCACCGACGGGGCTCCCATGCCCGGTGTTGACCCTGGGCCCCGGGCCCGGCACACCCTAGGACCTGCCTGTAGTGTGGATGAACCAGAGGCTCTGTGCAGCGGCCTGGAGACCTGCCCCTCAGCTCCACAGGAGCTCCCAGCTGCCCTAGAGGCCGCACACTGCCCAGGACATGTGCCCTTTTAGGCACCTGTTAGTGATTTGTGGGGCAGCGCCTGTCCTCCTGTCCACAGTGAGTCAGAGTGGAAACAACCTGACCAGGAACCCCTTCCCCACTCCCACAGGCAGACCCAGCCACGTGTAGCACAACACTAAGAGGACCTGGTGGTCAAGAGGGTGGGGGCCAGGGCTCAAATCTGTCGGACCCTCGGGGAGGGTCTGCTCACAGGGTGAGTGTGACCCAGGTGATGCAGGCTGTCTGCCTAGAGGTCAGCTCTCCTCTCCAAGTGTGTCCATGGTTTGTGTGCTACAGGGACGAGGGTCAGAGGCGAGGGGCTACTGCAGGCCCGGCCACAGTGAGAAGCCCAAGGGTAAGTGAAGCACCGACCCACCCCAGCTCACACTGCAGGAGCAGCCGAGTGCCAGGACGGCAGAGGTGGGATGAAGCCGGCCTCTAGGGATGCGCTACGGTCGGGCAGCTACGGTCGGGCAGCGGGTGCTGACAAGAGATGAGCACCTGCTGGGGTCTGGCCTACAGCACACGGGAACTGGCCCCAGGCTGTGAACTGAGCCTGGTGACCCCCAGCCACCACACTCGGAGAGAGCCCTGGAGTGCTGACGGTGCTGCCCGGGGAGGGCTGGGCTAAGAGGGCCCGGCCACACTTCTGCAGAGCTCACAGCCACAGGTGACTGGCTGGCTCCCAGGGTGCATGGTAAAAACCGCCCCCAGTCCAGGTCCGAGGGGAGAAGGCTGAGTCAGCCTCTCTGGCAGGTGTGAGAAAGGGCACCCAGGAGGCCTGAGCCCACCATGCCTGGGCACTCCACTCACCCTATTGAAGTCCAGCGGGTGCTCGCTACTGGGCACGTCCTTGATGTCCTGGAATTCTCCTGGACCGTCCTCTCCCTTGTCGTGGGGGTAATACTCTTTGGGAAGGAAGGAGGGGAAGAGGGGGATTCCATTAGGACACAGCTCAGGATCGGGCACCTTGCCGCTATGTCCCTGAAAAGCTCTGCTGCTCAGTGGCCAGCCCTGAGAGATGAGAGGGACTCACTGCAGGGGAGGCGTGGTCGCCACTTGGGGGGCTTCTTAAAGCCGTGGCACAGCGGCCTCAAGATCCCCGGCCGGCGTCCGGGTGCAGCGATGAGGCTCAGCCACTCGCTCCAGGCTGACCCTGGGCCGACTGTGTACTCTACGTGGACCGGAGCCTGGGGAGAGCCAGAGGGCAGGGCGGGAGGCAGCCCAGGAGCCTGGCCAGGAGCTGAAGGGGTGAGATAGTTAACATTTATTGTGCCAACACAGCCAATGAACACGTGTGAGATCAGTTGAAGGCGGAGAGATAAATGGCTCAGGGAGCCTCGCCTTTCTTATTTCTTGTTCTTTGATTATTCGACCAGTGTGCAGCTGCCTTGCTTGTTCTGTGCCTCCATTTGCAAGCTATACTACCTATGGGGCACCTAGCCCGTGGACTGTGTCGCTATAATTTGAGGTTCCTTCAAGACCTGCTTTGCCACGATACTAGAATGTACACCTCTTGCGCTGGGGACTGTCCGACCCTGTCATCTGGCTGACTTGCTGTTTGCTGCCTGTGGCCGGATAGCCTGAATTGCTCTACAGAGGACCACTTGGCGGCCTTCAAGAAACTCACACAAGTGAGTTTCAGTGAGCCATTTGTACTGCTTTATAGATTAATGAACTGTTTATTTCTTATGTTATATCTATCTATCTAAATATATATAACATTATTAACGTTCTGGTTTTGTTTCTCTAGAGAACCCTGTCTAACACAGGGGGGACGGAGGGCTGGAGGCCAGGAGCTGGGGACCTGCACTAAAGAGTAGGGAGTTGGGAAGGGACCTGGTGACCATGTGGGGCTGGCTAACAGGTCAGGACTACTTTTCTTGGACTTCTGAGTAGCTGCTTGTCCTAGAGGTCTGTGGTCCTGCCCTGGAGTGGACAGACTAGGCTGTTCCTGGCTTGTGATAGAGCAAGAGGCAAACTCCCCTCTGAGCCCCAGTTGTTCAGCTTGGAGTCGGGCTATCAGCTTGCAGGGCTGGGAGGAAGGGGGTGATTCCTGTGTGGCCATCCTGGTGGTCACTGCTGGTGTGGCTACTACCAATGGCCCAAGTCTCACCTGGGCCCACAGTTTGGGGTTCCACAGAGGCTGCCTTCACCTCAGTTCCCACCTAAGGAGAGTGGACTTGCTCTGCTGCTGATCTCCATGTGCCCCCCACCCCACGTCGGAGCTGCTGTCACATGGCATCCACGTGCTGACGGTGGCAGGCTGACTGACTAGCTACTGGGAAACTCACCAGGGCTTCTTCTGAGGGCGGGGGACAGACTGAGCAAGCACAGCCTCGCCCACCTGCCATCCTGGGCAGGGCTGAGACTGAGACGGGGCAGAGCTGGGTATGCATGGCCTCGGCCGGCCTGAGACCTGCCCGTCCCCCCATTTAAAGCTGAGCTGACACAGGCTGGCCTGGATGCCCACCCGGCTGTGCGATCATCCTGCCCTCTCCACCCACCCAGCCCAGCCACTCTGGCTGCCTTGTGAGAGAGCACTCTTCCTGCATGTCCCCACTGGGCCAGCCCATGGCCCTGGGCCCCCAGGTGAGACACAGCATTCACTACTCGAAGAGACACGTGGAGGCCAGCACTCCTGGCAGGGTGACAGCTCAGCACACGGCCCTGGCGTCCTTACCATCACACTCGGATGTGGGGAAGAGAGGGGAGAAGAGGGCCTTCTCCCACCAGCTCGGGTTCTCCTGGGGCCTCCTGGTGTCCTGCACGTCCGTGTCCAACACAGGAAACTGCGGATGAGACCAAACACGGGGTGGGTCACTCGCACTCTTGAGCAGGACAACCAGGGTGGGGCAAGGGGCACCCCCCCTCAGGGTACCCCCACCCCCCACCCCCGAGGAGCAGCACACAGGCAACTCCAGGGGCAAATTGTGGGCAGGAGGCAGCCCTCACAAGGGCTGTGTGAGGGGAGCAGTGTCAGCAGGGGTCAGCTGGGGGAGTGATGAGGCCACATGGGGAGCAGGGCCCACGACAGCAGACCATGACTCCTCCTGGGCAGTTGGGGGGAGAGGCTTCTAGTGGTGGGTCCTCTCCACACCTGTCACTGGGCAGCTGGGGCCCCAGAGGCAACCCTGGTGGACCCCAGCTTCCACGGCACTCAATGGGGTCACCTTCCCAGTAGCCTCTACAGCATCCTCTCCCGTCCCTATGCTTCCCTCCTCCGGTCAAGGGCAAAGTGGCTGGTGTGGGCACCTGTTGCTATTGGCTGCCTTCGAGCTGATTCTGACTCGGACGGATCCTGTGTACAACAGAGCCAGGCCCCACGCCCCCTCAGTCGCTGAGGTCTGAGTGCCATGCTGTGTCGTCCATTCTCCAAGTCTCCCTTCTCCTGACTTGCACAAGCATGATGGAATTCTCCAGGGAACGGTCTCCTGCCATCCTCATTTCTACGAGGCATTCTGGCTGCACTGTCACCAAGAGCGAGTTGCTTATTCTTCTAGCAGTCCACAGTATTTTCAATACTCGTTGCCAACAGGGTAACTCTAGACCCCATCAATTTATCCGCGGCTGTCCTTATTCCCCGTCCAATTTTCACACGGCTATGAAGGGACTGGACGCACCATGGCTGGGTCAGGCACCTCATCCTCAAAGGCATCATCTGTGCTCTCACCTGTTATTGAGGAGGGCTTGTGAAGATGTGCCCGGTGCGATACTCCTTTCACCTCCTGGCTTCTGCTTTCAAGGGTACTGAGTACGGATCCAAATAGAATGAAACCCTTGGCCAAGCCCATCTCTTTTCTCATGCACCGTGTTACTGTCCAGTGTCTACATATACGTGTTGTCTACATGCACCGTGAATGTCCACATGTACCGTGCTATTGTCTACCTGTATCGTGTTATTGTCCACGTGTACCATGTTATCATCCACATGTACTGCTAACGTCCACGTGTCTCCATGTCCCGTGTTATCGTCCAGGTGTGTGGACTCTTCTTTACACTGGCTGATTCATACTGAGAGCTGTCAGCTTTGATTTTCGCCACTAAGTGCTTTACGTCCTTCTCCCGTTCAACAAGCAAGGCTGTCCCAGCTTCCTGAGGAGCCTTCTTCCAACCCCGACGCCTAATTCTTCATAGTCCAGCTTGTTTCAGTGCCTTTCAACATCACTTTGAGGACTAAGGTGCACCTGACCCAGGCCACGGCTTTCTCCACTGCTTCCTGTGCATGTGACAGTTGGACACCGGACAAGGAGGACCGAAGACTCGCTACATTTGAACTGTGGTGCTGGAGAAGAAGGTCCAAAGTACCACGGACTGCTGAAAGGACAAACCCATCTGTCTTGTAAAAAGTACAGCCAACTGGTTCCTTAGAGGCAAGGATGGTAAGATTTCTTCTCTCATTTTTTTAAGATTTCTTCTTATATGCCCTGGACATGTTGCCTGGAGAGACCAGTCCCTGGAGAAGGATGTCGTGCTTAGTAAAGTGGGGGGCGGTGACAAAGAGAAAGGCCCTCCACGAGGTGGACTGACACACTGGGGCTGCATCCACGGGCTCGGGCACAGGAGCGACTGTAGGGGTCTCCTTCTGCTGTGCACGGGGGTTGCTGTAGGTCCTCACGATGCCCGCCAGTCACACCATCTGCTGAGCAGACACGTCGTGTATGGCACAAGGATGCAACCCTGATGTATCATCTCCTGATTCTAAGCACACCACATCCCCTTATCTTGCACAAGTGTCTGTCTGGGTCTGTGTCCGGGCTCCGCACGAGCACAATGACGTGCTCTGGACTCCCTTTTCTTTTCTTTTTTTTTTAACATTTTATTAGGGGCTCATACAACTGTTATCCCAATCCATACACACATCAATTGTGTAAAGCGCATTTGTACATCGTTTCTCAAAACATTTTCTCTCCATTTAAACCCCCGACATTAGGTCCTCATTTTTCCCCTCCCTCCCCGCTCCCCCCTCCTGCATGAGCCCTTGATAGTTTATAAATGGGTATTTTGTCATATCTTGCCCAGTCCGACGTCTCCCTTCATCCACTTTTCGGTTGTCTGTCCCCCAGGGAGGAGGTCACACACAGTTCCATGTAATCGGTTCCCTCTTTCCTACCCATTCTCCCTTTACCCTCCCTGTTTTGCCACTCACACCACTGGTCCTATAGGGCTCATCCGTCCTGGATTCCCTGTATTTTCAGTTCCTATCTGTACCAGTGTACCTCCTCTGGTCCAGCCAGTCTTGCAAGATAGAATTCGAGTCATGGTAGTGGGAGCGGGGAGGAAACCTTTAGGAACTAGAGGAAGATTGTATTTCTCATCATTGTTACATCGCACCCTGACTGGCTCATCTCCTCCCCGAGACCCCTCTGCAAGGGGATCTCCAGTGGCCTACTAATGGGCTTTGGATCTCCACTCCGCACTCCCCCCATCATTCACTATGGTAAGATTTTTTGTTCTGATGATGCCTTACACGGACTCCCTTTTCTTAATGCTTCCCATCATCGCTGGTATGAGCCGCACACTGTCTGCCTGTGTGGTCAGCACAGCACAAGACACCTTTCTAGCTCTCAGCCAAGACACAGCAGACACCAGCCAGCAGCGAGACCTCATACCACGCCTTCTGAATCCAACACGCCCCAACTTCTGGCAGCTCCCGGCAGACGGACGCTGCAAGCATTTTTCAGTTGCCTTCATAAAGCCTTACTTGTATGTGATATCAATACTGCTCGACAATTTCCTCCTTCTAGCGGGTCACCTCTCTGTGGGGCTGGGCAGCCGCCTTCCAAGTCTCTTCGCCTGAGAAAGCGAGTACTGCGGCAGTCTGCCCCATGCTTTCAGTGGGTTTCCTGTGCTGTCGGGTACTACGTTTTTTGCTAATGCCTTCCTTCCGTGTGGCTTAAGTGTCTTTCTTCAACACCATGTGCTACCACTTGAAATGGCTGAATGTGGAGCATTTCTTTCAGGGACAGTGTATTCGTTTACCTTCTTTTGATGCATCGTGTTTGGCTCACTATTTTGTTCCCAGAATCCCTGAGCATCACACTTGAGGCTCCGGTGTCCTCTCAGTGGATCTGAGAGCGTGCTTCCCATCTGGCCTCCCACTGCTGGGTACTCTGTGTGCGTCATGGCGAGAACCTGCTCCGTCTCCTCAAGCTGCCCTTGGGCACGTGCTGTTCAGCGCTGACTTCAGCGCGTCCGCCATGCGTGAGCGTTAGCTGCCCCACGCCCAGGAGCGAGCGAGTCTCAGCGCCTCTCCTGATGTCCTCCTTGGTCTTTTCTTCTGGTCATGACCTCTGGCTTTCTTCAGGTCAACCCACAAACCATTTGGTCATCAGTGTTCGGTGTCAACTCTGCTCCCAGATGGTCTCTAAATTCAAGTCGGATGTACTCTGGTGGCATTTTGGCTCTTGTGGACTGGTTTCAGTTTTCTTTAAATCTGGCCCTTAGTGGTCGACAGCTCTCTAACGGGATTTTTGCACTTGAAACGGTGCCTCTCTCTGTGGATCTACAACTCGGTCCCTCATTTGCGATGGTGACCACGAGCTGAGCTTCCATTTCCATGTCGACTCACAGATGTTAGAGCGTGAAGATGTCAGGCGTGCTGCTCTTCTGCAGTGCCTCACGCGACTCCCACGACACCATCTTCTTGTTCCCAATAGGTCTGTGCGCTTGGTGGTGAGGGAGATACTGGTCGGACTGAAGGACTCGGCTGGGAGTCTTCACATGGACGAATGTGAAGGCCATCTTGCTCAGAAGCAGGAGGGGGCGACTTAGTTCAGCAGAAAGAGATGAGCCAAGCATGGGGCATGTCCTCCGGACCCTGAGATCCTTGATCTGGGAGACAGCTGTGACACTAGGGCAGCAGCGGCAGACCCAGAGCCAGAGCCTGAGACAGCGCAACAGACTTCCCAACCCACAGAGGGGTCAAGCTGAGTGCTGGGGGCAGGAGGCTGGCTTTGGAAGGAGTGCTTCTGGGCCTGCTGACTCTCAGAGCCTGAGCTGAGCTGTCTCAGTGTTGAGGCTCACAGGGACCAAGAGCCTATCCCGAATCAACAACTGCATCTGGACGGTCTCCCACGTCAGCTTCCCTCATAACAGCCACTGTCACGAGCCTCACCTGGGATCACGGGTGGCCACTGCAAAGAACTGTAGAGCCCAGTTGAAACACTGGCTCCACAACCGGTGAGTGCTACTGTCAGAATGGACACGCAAGTAGGAAGATGGAGGCATGTATGATCTCCGCCTGGTGTCAATGGGCCTAGGGAGCCAGCAGCAGTAAGATGTGGCGCCCACGCCATTTTCTCAGCTTCCCCCTACTGTGGCCACCACTGGTCCTGGGCAGACCCTACCCAACGACACAGTGAGGTGGGCAGTTCCTGATGCCCTTAGGACCCAACCCCAGTGACCAGGAGCATTCTAGGGCCTCTTTCCTGCTGCTCAGCTGGTCACAGCTCAGGCTTCACAGAGCCGCCCTGCAGCTTGTACAGTGCACCATCCCAACCTCTGGGCTTGCTGACAAGCGGGCAAGGGAAGATGGTACTGGGCACACAGGGGGCCCAGGCTCCAGGTTAGGCCTCCCAGGTCCATTCCTCAATCTGCTGCAAAGTCCCCCACCCCCACCCTCCTGCCCTGAGTGGAGCAGCTGCCCACCAGCAAGGGCCGCCCATCACTCACCACCTGTCTCAGGTGCCCAAGCCCAAGAGGCTGACAGAAGCAGCATAGTGGGCAGAGAAGGTCATGCTGGAAACCTCACTCTGGGGACAGCATCAGCTCCCCCCTCCCCATGGGTCATGGACAAGATAGGTTTACCCCCCACTCCCCACCATAGCCCATCTTCTCTGGCTCAGAGTTACTGGGCTGAGGAGCCTGCATCCATTCCAGGAAGGTGGTGGACGATGCTGCTGGGGCTGCATGGGGCCTGGTGGGGCTCAGGGAGCTGGGCACCTGGCGCCCTTTGGATGACCTACATCACGCTCTCCTGGCAGTGCCTAAGTCAAGCCACGTCCCAGAGCCCACGTGGGGCATGTCCCACTGTGTGTCAGCCACACACCCTCATCGCTCCCCTCTGCTGACCACTGCCCACAGCCTGGTACCAGGTGTCTAGCACTCACCCCTCACCCATGGTCTCCTGGGATCACTCAAGGCACATCAGACCGCATGGGGAAGGGGTTGTCGGTGGGACAAAAGGCACATGTAGCTGTGTGCACACGCACACGCGGGAGGACATGTTTGGGGATGCAAGGGGCTCCCATAGGTATGAGCACCCACTGACATGCACCCTTGTGTAAGTCTTCAGCCCTAGTCTCCCAGGCACCAGTCGACCTCCAGAGGGACCCCAGGAGGAGGAGGACCCAGTCCGCAGGTTTGTCTGCAGAGGGCGCCTGTCATATTCCCCCACTGCGTCCCCGGGGTTCTACGGGAGGTTCAGGGCTTCCCCAAAACCCAGTTCCAGTCAGACGTACGAGAAGGTGAAGGGAGGCGGCCGGCGTGCGCTGCGGAGTCTCGCCTTGCTCCCCTTGCTGCTCCTTCCCCTTCTGGAACCGGATGAAACAGAGTGGGTGAAGAAGGCCGCAGCGGAAAAGACCTCCCAGCCCCAAGGCATAAAGAAGAGTCTGCTCTCATGAAGCATCACAGCTCTGGAATCCCACCGGCAACTCTGCCCTGTTCCACTGCCTGCCTCGCCCAGCACCCGAGACAGCAGGGAGCGCTGAGCCGCCGAGTCAGAGTGCAGTCAAGGGAGGCATGCCTTCTGTCCGACTGAGGTGGGAGCAGGCCCGGCACCTGGGCCAGATCTCAGCTCTGGCCTCCTCCTGGTCCAGCTGCTGGGAGTTGGGGTGAGGGGAGTCCCACACCAGTTTGACACCTCAAAGCACACCTCAGGGCCACAAGGGTGCCAGGGGACAGAGCTCTCACAGGGACCTTGCCCAGCTCGCCAGCTCCCCCCACAGGCTCGGGGGCAGGATGCTGGCTGCGGCCCACACGGTGAACAGGGCAGATGTGAAATCACGTCTGAACCTTGGTGCCTGGTCCCCAGGGGGCAGACTCTGGGAGCCTCGCCACCACGGCTGCTGAATAAACAGCCCCCACCGTTTCACGGCTTGTGGAAGGCCCTGAGGGTGCTGGGCTCTCCCAAAGCACAGCCCAGGTGCGGGTAAGACCACAAGGAAGACCCTGCTGTCCTCAGACTTACTTTGAAAGCCAGCTACTCAGCTTAAAGGTACCACCCTCAAGTCTCACGGACCAGACCTGCACGCACGCACACGCTCACTCACACCTGTGTGCACGCACGCAGACTCACACGAGTGTGCATGCACACCCAGGCGCGCCCAGCCCAAGTACCTCGGCCAGCTGCCCCGAGGACACCAGACGGTCTTCACAAACAGGAAACGGACAGCCTGCTCTGCAGCCACAGAAGGGACTCGCATCGCCCTGGCCCTGGGTGGGCTCTCTGCAGCCAGTCTCTGTCTGCAGGGTCTCGTGCCCGCTGCAGCCCAGGCATGGGGTCCGCTTCCCCACAGGCAGGCCACCGGCCACCTCCTCCTGGGAATCCAGCGAGGTCTGCGCGCTCTTCTCCATGCCGGACTTCTTCAGCCTGGGCAGGAACTTCCCGGACTCCAGCTCTGACTTGCCGTAGTAGTGGCCCTCTGTCTCTGCGTCTTCCTCCAGAGGCTTGAGGTCAGCCTGAGGGTCCTGGAAGGCTTCCACCTGGGGCGGGATGGGGAGGTGTGCTTCCTCTTTCTCTGACTCCGACTCGCTCCCTGCCCCGGGTGACAGCTCCGATGCAGAAATGGGGCGGAAATGAGTCCGTGGGGAAATGCGGATGGCCCTGTACTGGGTCCGGCCAGCACCACCCGTCCTGGGGTGGAACACCTCGCCATCCGATTCGGAGCAGAGGATGGCCTTGGGCTTGAAGCTGGGGCTGAAGGGGGCGATGCCGTCAGGCTCGAAGGAGCACTCAACATGGAGGACCTGGGAGAGGGGGCTGCCCAGGTCCAGGGAGGAGAACGGATACTGGAGCCCAGGCTCTTCAACCTGGAGGTTGCCACATGCACCCAGCAAGTCTTCGTGGAAGATAAAAGAGAACCCCTTATTCCAACCGCCCTCCCCACTCCTGGGCGGCTCCCTCTGCTCAAAGGACACCAGGGGCCGCCACAGCTGCCGGTGGCCAGGGGCGAAACTGTTCCCAGGGGTCATGAAGACGTCGGTGCCCGCGATGGTCACCACATCGGAGGCAGCACACTGCAGCAGGCTGCCCCTCGAGGGGCTGGGCGGCACCACAGCCCACTCCCCCTCACTGAAGGTCTGGAGCTCCCCATAGACACCCCCCAAGATGAATGTGCTCCCCCTCTCCTGGGCCTCCTCCCAGGGCCGCGAGGGCGTGGTGTAGTCGCCCCCGTCCACCTCTGCTGGCACGCTGGGGGCAAAGGCATGCTTCTGCAGGCCCCCCTTCTGGCCGTCCCACAGGCGGTACTCTGACCTCTGCACGGCCCTGCTGGGCTCCTGGCGACCGTCAGCCTTAGCTCTAGCCTCCAGGCAGGAGCAGTAGCCGCTCACGTCTGCAGGGAAGGGCTCCCCGTCCATCCCGCCTGCCGGGCTCCCATCCGCCACGTGTGTCCAGATGCCCTTCATGACCCCTGAGTGGTAGCGGTCCCCGGGAGGGCTGCCTCCCCCACACCCCTGTGTGGGCCCACCGTCTCTGCTTTGCGGTTTCTCTTCGAGGGGAATCCCACAGACGGACTCCAGTTTAGACTTCTTTTTGAAAACTAATGCCGGGAGTTCTCCCAAACTTCTACTAGTCTGCTGGTAAGTTTCATCTTGCAAAAAGTCGAGAAGTTCTTCATCTACATAATTCGAGGGGACTCTAGGGACCCCATAACATACGTCCTCTGTGCTGAATGGTGCGGGCTCCTCACACAGGATGCTGCTGAGCGCCTCATTGTCCGAGCGTGTCTCTTCTGAGTGGGACCAGGGGCTGCATGTCCTTGTGGAAAGGCTGGAACAGTGGTCGTTTTCATCAAAGGCACTATTTTTGGTCCATATGAGCAATCGCGATTGTGTCTTCCCAAGCACGGGGGCACTAGAATCCGTGTGTTCACTTCCCAAGCTGAGTGTTTCGAAAGAAAAGGGTAGACCAGAGTCACCGCATTGCACTTCAAACACTGAGAAACACGAGCGGAGAGCGGGTCCATCGCTGACCTCTGGGAAGAGCTCCTGATTGCCAGCCAGCGCATGTGAGCTGAGCAGCGTGCTGTCCGAGAGCGGAGAGAGCTGGACAGGGGAGTCGCCCCCGAAGCTCTCGGCGTCACCAGAGCTGGAAGAGCAGCAGCCCCAGAACACAGCCAGGTCCTCAGGGCACCCCCGCAGGTGCAGGCCCTCCGTGCCCCCCGCATTGGCAGGCTCTGTCCATATTGCACGCTCCCCTTGCCACTCCACCTCGTCTAACACTATGCAACAGTCGGCCTCCAAGTCCGTCCTCTCGGCGTCTTTCTGTCGAATCATATTCAAGATCCGACTCTCTCCTTGCGTTGCTTCTGAGGCACCAGGATCCAACATGGATTGGTCAATGTCCACTTCGTAGAAGTGTGTGAATTCCGACAGATGAATGTCATCCAGGTAGTGAGCGTCCTCCCGCGGAGAACAGAATGGGGTCCCGGGGAGGCCAGCAGCCTCGCTGGTGATGTCGGCGGGCATTTCAACAAAATGGCCATCGATGAAGGTACCAGCTGAGAGGTATGTCTTGTGGGGACTGCTAACACACAGGCCATGCACGGTGTCCACCAGCTCCCCGCCAGTGGCGGCGTCAAGCCCCCGAGGGCAGGGCTCTGGCCGGCGGCGATACGTGGTCTCCAGTTTGCTCCTCCTGCTGGAGGGTGTGAAGTACTCAGCAAGGGGCTCCGTGTACCACAGCGGCTCCTCCTTGTACTCCCGGGCGCTCCTGCTCTCCACGCACACCTCCTTTCCGTCGGGGCCGCCGGCTTCCCTCCTGGCCGGCTCCCGGGGTGGCCTTCGTCCCCCCCGTCTGAACAGTTGCTTGGAGCCGCCCCCACTGCTGCTGCTACTGCTCCCGGTGCGGATGCCCCTCTCCGTCTTCTGGCTGCCCTTGGCCAGGATCCGACTCTGTCCACCCCGCCCCTTCTTGTTCCGCACCTCCCTCGCCCGGTGCCTCGCTCTCACGCCCCTGGCGGGTGCCCTCGGCTCCCCCTGGGTGCCACTGGAGCTAGAGCCCGCCTCACTTGAGCCAGAGGACCAGGAGCGGGGGCGGGCCTTTCCCTCGGGCCTGGGCCGGGCCTGCTTCCTGTAAGGTGAGGGCTCCTGAGGCGGTGGGCCACGGCTCCGCTCGCTCCCCTTCTCACTGTGGCTCTGGACCGGGGCTGCTTCCTTCGAGCTGGACAGAGGTCCCCGGCCCCTTTCCCAGGCGGGCTCGCCTTCACTGTGGCCGTCCTTGGGAGAGGATGTATCTGTGCTGGCCGGCGGGGCTGTAGACGAGGAAGAGCTGGAGTAGGAGCAGACTTGGGACTTGTTCCACACCGTCATGATCTCCTGCAGGTACACTGGCTTCTTGGAGAGCGGGGGAAATGCCTCGTAGTACCTGCAACAAAGCAGGGTCACACCTTAGTGGGGGGCCTCTCCATGGGTGGGGCCTACCGAGCCTGCGCTCCAGCTGTGCCCCTCCCTCTCCACCAGGAGACCCTCATACCCGTGCACGTGCTGGGTCCCCACAGCATGTCCCAGTGCAGTGATCAGAAAATAGGGAAACGACCGTTTTGGTCCTCAAAGTTTAATTTCAATTCAGAAAACTACAATGACGATAAACTTGTGAACAGTCATCTGAGGAAGAAGTGCCTTCGTCTGGCTTTCGGCTCAGAACCCTGGCTGTGCCGCTCCCAGACTGTGTGGCCCGGTCCCCAGAGCTGCAGGGAGGAGTGGAGCCTGTGAGACAGGTGGCTGACCTGCAGGCACTCACTCAGGGCCAAGGCTTAGTGGCCTCTGTCTTGGCAGGGGCTGAGATGGAGAGCAGACCACAGTCAGGCACCGAGAGGCTCACAGAGGTCAGGGTGCAGTGAACCCTGGGTGACACACAAGGTGGCGAGCCCTGAGGAGCCCCAGTGCCAAAGGAGGCTATAAGCAGGTGTGCAGGCTGTGCTGACGGAGGGGTCCTCCTGGGCTGGCTGCCAGGAAGGCAATGTCCATGGTTTAGAAAAGCAGTGGCCACTCAGGGCTCGAAGGGAGAGCCAATGGGCCATGCAGGGGGCGGCTCAGGGCCCAGAGTCAACTGGCAGGACTCTTCCCCAGTCTGTCCAGTGGGTGGCACCTGTGAGCTTCAGCTCCATTTAAAAGGCTCTAGCCCTCACAGCAGTGACTCAGAGGAATGTTTAGAAAGAATAGTCATTTGCAGTAATCGGTCTAACCCAGTTGATCCGAAATAGCATTTCCCACCTGCTCTTCAGCATGTGACTGAATCACAGCTGGAGCCCTACTCGCAGGCTCAGCAGGCACTGTGCACGTCACACACCTGCCAATCCTGGCCCCTGGCCTCGGTGGCCATGTCTGTGCAGCCACTTAGTCCTCAGAGGCACAGAAGCGTCCCAGGAAATGCAGTGAGTGCACTGGTGTAGCCACCCAGCTGTGGAGGGAGACCTACCAGTGCCTCCCCCTTTCCCCACTCCCTGGATTCAAGCAGAGGGTGTGAGGTCGTGCCCACAGCATGAGCGAGCAAGACCCTCCCTGCCCCCCCAATGGGCCCAACATGCACAGCATGGGTAGGGCTGCCCTTGGTACCAGGCACACAGGTCTGCGCCACACCCGAGCTCAGCCGTCCCAACTGAGTACGTACATCTCCACCTGATCCTTTGCCGTAGGGGACAGCTCTGCCTCAGGAGACGGAGACCCATCTGACTTCTTGTGTGTCTTCTCTTCTGTAATGAAACACAAGTTCAGAAACCGCCACCGGGTAACTGCCTGGGGCTGTGCAAACAGCACCTGAGGACATCGGCAGGGGCCAATCTGGCTGTAAGGAAGGGCCATCTTTGAAGCAGGAGCACGGGGGGGGG